CAGGGTGCGGCAGAGGGGCGTGAGTCTGGCTCAGGCTCAGACATCACCTGAAGGGGGGTCGGGGCTCCACTTACCAAGAACTTGGAGTCGTGGTGGTAGGGCTGGATGATGGGGATGCCCAGGGGCGTGACCCACTCCACTGCTGAGCCCGAGTGGGCGATGAGGCGCGCACTCTCTGTCAGCCAGCGCTGCGGGACAGGGCACGCACGCTCATTCCTGACCCCTCGGACAGCCAGGGGCAGCTGACGCGCACAGGGGCGGCGGGGCGGGACGCACCTGGATGGCCCGCGTGCCGGCAAACATCTCCTGAAGGCTGTTAAAGACCTGGCGCACCAGGTAGTGGGAGGTCTCCCACACGAGCTCCTGGGGAGGGACAGGCGGTGGGCCTCCTGTCCACGGCCCGCAGCAGCCCCGCCCCTGTGCACCAGCTCCTGGGGGCAGAAGTGGTGGGCCTCCCGTCCTCTGCCCGGCCCCAGCCCCACTCCCGCCGACACACCCACACGGAGGCAGTGGTCAGGGACCCCAAGGGCCTGCATACCTGGGGGAAGTCGCTGAGCTCACGGAGACGCTTCTCGATCTGTAGGCGCCCCCCGTAGCGGGTGACCCCATACACCACGGTCATCACTGTCTGCTTGACCACCTTGCGGCGCACGAAGCCCTCTAGCTCCTGGGCCACCCTCACGCCCTGTGCTGCGTCCTGCTGGCGGAACAGCTCCACCTGGGCGGGGCGCAGGCCTGAGTCCTGCCAGCCGGCCCCTGCCCTCAGCCCAGCCCGCCCCTGCCCCTGCGTGTGCACCCACCTGGGCAGCCACCCCGCTGTACACGTCCTGAGGCAGGTCAGAGGGCAGTAGGTTGACGGAGGCGGCGCCCACGCTGTCCCGTCCCAGGGCCGCATAGTGCTGGAGGCCGTTACAGGAGCCGTCCTGGGGCGGGCGGGCTGGGTGAGGCCCCGAGGCGAGACCTCTGCTGACCCCACCCCAGGAGGGCCTGTCCCTACAGAAGGCAGCAGGTCCGGAGAGGCAGGGCCATCCCCAGACCACACGGCTCATCCCGCCCGTGACCGGGATGGCGGCCTCGGACCGTACAGCTGCGGACAGCAGAGTCCCAGCGAGGTCAGACTGGGCATCAGGCCAAGGCCCGGCGAGGGCATGCCCACCTGGTGCACGGGCAGGTGGGAGACGTAGGCTGTGGGGTCGGGGGAACGCATGGCACGTGCAACCTCCATGCAGCAGGCCAGGGTCTGCCAGGGCTCGTCCGCCTCCATCCACCACTTCCGGCCCTGTGGACAGACGGCGGGCAGCACCAGGTGAGGCCTGGGCTGGGGGCGTGGGGACACAGCAGGCTGAACACACACAGGACAGGGCCCAGCTGGACGAGAGCGGGGCAGCCCGACGGGCCCTGGGCAGATGGGGCCTGGCAGAGGGCAGGCTCCACAGGATGGCCACAGGGGTTGCGCGGGGGAACTCGGGCAGAGCGGAGACCCCAGAGGACCAGGCCGGAAGACTGTGCAGAGGTCGGCGAGGAGACGGAGGGACCTGGCTCGGTGATAGGGAAGGTGAAGGGTGCAGCAGGGGCCTGGGGCCAGAGCAGCTGACAAAGGCGAGGACAGAGACAGGGAGAGACATGGAGACAGCAGGAGTTGGGGCTCCAGGGGAGGGAGCAGACCCCTACCGTCATGGGCCGGTCTGCGGAGTCCAAGATGTCGTCCATCACCTCATTGGCGAAGGCCAGTCGCGCCTGCAGCGACTCGCGCTTCTTGAGACCGGTGAGGTTGATCAGGTGGATCTTGAGCCAGTCGAGGCCCTGGGGCCCGAGCGGGCGGCCCTCTGCAAACTCTAGCAGGGCGCGGGCCAGGTCGCTGCCCAGGTGGTTCAAGTGGGGCGGGCAGGGGTAGGTGCGGCCGCGGAAGTCCATGTTGTGGGGCAGCCAGAAGACACGCTGCCGCAGGTGCTGGGCCAGCGACAGGCGGTACAGGGCGTCGGCGCGCAGGCTGTGCATCTCGCGCGCCACCT